TCTCTGAGTTTGAGGGCAGCCTGGTCTACAGAGTGAATTTCAGGGCAGCCAGAGCTACATGGTGAGACCCTGTCTCGAAAAGAAGAAAAGAAAGAAAGAAGGAAATGATTTGGGCTAAGTGTGTACATTACTTTTTAAGTACAAGGTCAGAGGAGGGTACGTAAGAGCCTTTGCCAAACATCTTATCAATTTTAGGAGCTTTGATATGCTATAAGTCCCTCTAAAAGGGACCCTGTTTCTACCCCTCTCCCCAGGATGTGCCAGGCAAGTATTCTGCTACTAGGATGTATTACCAGTCCTCTTTTTACTTTTTAAAGTTTGACACAGAGTTCTCAGGTTGGCCTGGTACTTACAGATCTTCTGCCTCCGCCTTTTGAATATCTGTGTCTTCAGAATGGCTGAGCTGTTTTCAAACATATGAGTCACAGACTTACTCAAAGTAGTTACAAAATGTAATAACATTAAGATACTCGTGATTTTATATTTAGTAATAATATTGATTCCAGTACCTCCACAGTTGTGACTCATTTTCAAAGGAATGGGCTTCCTTTCTGGCCAGCCAATCAGTGTTGTAACCTAATTTCTTACTTTTCTTCTATATTTTAAAATACTCTATTTTTTTTCATTCCTCCCAGTCTAATTTAGCCCCTCCAGCCCTGACTCTCCTCTGCTCCCCTGGGAATGTTTACCTCCTTAGCCTTCAACCTTCTGGGAAGCTGTGAACATGCCTTCCTATCAGCTGTCTCCCCATGATCTCCTCAGAGATCCCATGCCATCCAGTTGTTCAGCAGTCTAAGAGGCTTTTTGACAAATAGTAGCCTGCAGCTCTCGACCCACTTAACCTCTGTGTCTATTTCACAGTGTCCCTGGCTCCTGCTGCTGGGCTCCATCTTGGCCCTGTATCTGTCATTTGCTGGCCACCTCTCTTCGTGTGATCCTCAAAGATACATGCCCCTGGCACACTGCCCTCCCCTTCAGCACTCTCCACTGCCTGGACATAGGTGGATGACTTTGACTGCTGTGCTCTGTCTCTGCTTCCCTCTCCTCTTGCCACCTCTTCCTTGGCCCTCCCTGTGACTCACAGCATCCCTCCTGCCCCAGTTCATTCCAGCATCAAGTCACTGTTGTAACAGTGTCATCTGTCACCTCTTAGATCCCTCCTCTCCGATGCTCTTCCTTTTTCAAAATCTGTAGATCCAAGGTTTTTGTTTTGTAATTTTTTTTTTACCTATACATCTCTCCACATTCTTGTATCTATAATATTTAATTTTTTTTTTTTTTTTTTTTTTTTTTTTTTGTAGACATGGTCTCACTGTTGTGTTGGCTGTCTTGGAACTCTTAGAGACCTGCCTCTGTCTCCTGAATATCATGATTCGTGCACAAGCTGTGTGGTTTTTTTGTTGTTGTTGTTGTTTTGGGGTCATTTTTTCCACATGGTACAGTTTTGGCAGTTTGTAGTACAGTATCTCCTTGCTCCGTGAGTCCTCAGTCTGATACATACGCTAAAAACAAATTTCTATTGGTTCTCTAGCACCTGCATTTTGTTCCTTTTAAATTTTTTTCTCTCTGTGTACATGTCTCATCTGTCCTCATACACCCTTTTCCTTGTCCATTGGCGTAGTTTGTCTGTCCAGTGTCTCAGTTGACTTGTGTTGCTATAACAGGGTGACAAGGTGAGTAGTTAGAAGGAAGGAGATTTATTCCCATAGTTCTGGAGGCTGGGGAAGGCCTTCTTGCCTGTCCTCACATGGCAGAGAGGGAGAAGAGTGCACTCCTTTGAGCTCTTTTTATAGCAGCATTAATCCATCCATGACATCTTTCCGTTCGGATCCACCTCCAAATGAAATGCATTGAGGACTGAGTTTCCAACACAAGAGCTTTGGAGGTGACAGGATCTCTCAAGCCATGGCAGTTCCCATTGCTCTAAATGTCTGTCCTGCTGTCTGCTTTTGGCCCGGGTTCTAGCTATTCAAAGTGTGCTTTTGCTCCTTACCGTACTTTGTAGCTTCCTTCTGATGGCTATGCTGAGGAGCTGGGTAAAAGCAACTGCAGCCTTCAGGAGTGTGCTATGGGGAGGGGGAGAAGCACACTCCAGCTTTTACTGTGCCTTCAGCTCTGCACCTTCTTAGCTTAGTGGGCCACACAGAGCGTGTGTTGTAGGAGGTCAGAGGAGCCTGACATTGGGTCAGCTGAGTTCTGACAAGTGGAACCTGCAGGTTAGACTAGGTTAAGAAGTTCTACTGGGTAGATTTTGTAAGTAGGAACAGAATGGAATAGAATGTCCTGGCATATTTCACAGTGCTTACTTTTCCCTTCTCTGCCAGAAGCCCAAGGAAGATTTGTCTCTAGTACTGGCTCTGGAGCTCAATGAAACTCAAGAAGAGACAGCCCAACAGCATGAGGTCCCAGCAGCCTGGGTGCTCCTCCTCTGAGCCTGTCTTTCGGAGGGCTCTGCTGTGAAAAGTCATTCTCTTTATCTACCTATCTCCAATTTTGGAAGCAGCATTTTTCTCTGAGACCTCAGAGTCAAGAGAAGTCATTGATTTTTCAAATGGGTCATTGTTTACTTCTTAGGAGTGAATTCAAGTTCTTTATCTACAAGGCTCAAAATTACAAAAATACTTTAAAAAATATATGTTACAAATATATAACATTCATGTGTTATATAACATAATATATATGTTACAAATATAGATTTGTGTATATATAGTAACAAAAGAAGAAAACCAGAAAAATTTAAAAAGCATTTAGAAACTTGTAATTTGATATTATTACCTTCCCCAGTTTATGCTTCTATGATGTGTGAACTTCTCTCCACAGTTTCTGAAGTTTGGATTTGAAATGTTCTCCAAAGGCCTCTGATAAAAGCTTGATCCTCTAGATAGTACTATTGGGAGATGACAGAACCTGTGAGAATTAGAGCCTAGTGAAGGCCTGTAGGGCAGCAGAGGTGCAACCTCAGAGGATACTGTGGGATTCTCGTCTCTTCCTCTATGTTCCCTGGCTTGTAGTATAAGAACTTTGTCTTCATCGTGCCCTCCTGCTGTGAATGTGTGGGCCTCATCATAGGCCCAAGACAGTGAGCTAACTGATCAGGCTCAAACTAAAATTATGAGCCCAAATAAGCACTCCCTCCTTTTAAGTTCCTTTCTCTGGGATCTCATTATAGTGATAGGAACCTAGGAGCACATTAAAACTTCAAAACAAAGCAGTGGACTTGAGCAGTTTTTCCATTCTGAAGACAGGAGCATGAGAACAGGAGAGAGTCAAGAAAATGCAAATCTGGGGTCAAAACAACTCATCCTTGCAATTGCCTTGAAGGTACAAGGGGAAGGTTAAGCTCTGTGGGAGCTCAGGGAAGGAGAGTCAGGTATTCACCTGGTGTTGAAAGCACAGATATCCCACATTCCCATTCCTAAGCCAAGATTCTTCAGGTCAGCCACCGCCTTCTCCTGTCAAACCCAACCAAAACAACAAAACAAGATGCTATTACCCAGGAGCCTTTGCACCCTCACCTATCAAAGCCAGTGTTTAGTACACACTTCAGACCCTTGTTTTCACTTGCCTTATGTTATAATCCCATCTCCCAGAGAAACTGACAATAACCTGATATCTCTCCTCGTGCTTACCTGGCATTCCAGCAACCTGTACATTACAGTTCTGCAAAGGGACAGCTTATTAAGCACCTACTGTGTCTCAGTGACATAACATTGATCAGATGAGTGCAGAATGGTAGCTGAGCACACAAATGCACAAGCTATGTTTGTTTCTCTAAGACCTCTTCTCATGTGAAGTGTAGTATGTATAAGTTCACATTTAGCTTTTTATTTTGAAATTCCATGTGAATAAATTTATCATCAGTTTTGAAAAGGGCTAGTTTAGCTTAGTTTATGCTAATTTTATGCACAGTTGTGCCTGAGCTATTTACTGTGGGTTTAGTTATTTACCTATTTTATTTGTCATTTTATGGCATACATATTTTCAGTGGAGATGCTTACACTGGGCTGTATTTGTTTATACCATAGTGCATTAACCATAAAACTATCTAAGTATGCCCAAACCACTGTGATCTGCAGCCCTCAGGGAAAGGGGTTTTCAGGAGAGCAGTAGCTCATGGTGTGGGAGATCCTGCTAAAGGAGCATGTCTACCTCTGAAATTTTGGATGGGGCCTCCGGAAATGTTGATACTAACTGAGGGTCATCAGTACAAGCTGGACTGTCAAACCTGACTCTCCTGAGACCATTTGGTATCACTTTTGTTTGAGTTCTTTCTGACATTCCTTGCACTGTCTTCCATTGCTGTCCTCCATTGCTGCCAGCAGTACTTCTCCTGGCTGTGCCTGTAGATCTTCTATGCCCTAGGCTTTGTAGATTTGAAGAGCAGGTAAGAGAATGGGCCACTGATATGGAACTGTCACTTACAAGTACCTCATAAGGACCAGCTTGCAGTTCTGAGTTTTGTGGCAGGATGGGAACCTGCCTCATATTCCCATTCTAACCAGAGGAGGGAAGCTCTGGGATTTAAACCTTAGACATAATAGGGCTGGTTGAACACACTCAAGAGTAAGGAAGTGAGGCTTGGAACAGACCGTATCTAAAGTTAAGTTTGTAAAGCAATGGCTCTATGGTGATAGCATTTGTCTTCCGAGTTCTCTGACTCTGTCTGTCTTTATGGAGCTGGCGATAGAACAAAGCACTTGTGGATGCTAGGAAGGGCTTTACCAGTGAGCACATGCTCAGCGCCCTTCCTTCACTTACAAATCCTAAGCAGCCCTTCTTTTGGCTTGTACTCTGTTGGTACTAAAGCTAAAGCTTTAATTCTTAAAAAGCTCCTGTGAGGCGCATAATGCCTCCGAATCTCCTTTCTGCTATGCATGTTGTTATGCTTGCATTACACACTCCATGGTCTTCTTGACATAGTCACCAGAAAAACCTTTGTTGGCTGTGCCAGCAGGTGACCCTTGGACATTCATGGGCCTGATCCTTTTCACCTGTTCTAGAGTCTTCAGTGACTTGTCTCCTCAAGGCTTCAGAACATTCAGGAATGTTCCCTTCTCTGAGCTGGGAGAGCAGAGAAGCCGAAGCATCAAGAGATTGGCCCCAGGTCAAACCACTGCTCGCTCCTTCAGGTAGGCGTGGGGCCTCTGCTTTCAAGGCTCATGGGGTTTGCCTACTACCCCAAAATATAAATGTGGGTTGAATAACAGGTAAGACCTTGTTCTGACTGTATAGAGTGAGCTGCCAGCCCCTCTGCACGTGTGTATGCTGGGTCACACTGAGGGAGGAGGGAGACAGAACTTGATCCAAGGCCATGTGATCCCAAGGGGAGATGTGACCGGAGAATGATGAAAACTGCTCATGTGGGATCTAGTGACTGACCCCAACTGGCTAGCCAGGCACACTAACCTGGGAAAACTAGGACTAAATACACTGGCTTTGGTGATTACAGTAGTTGCTGTGTTTTTAGAAAATTAGGTATTTCTTTAGTTTGTTTTAGCCATGTATTTGTCTCTTTATTGTTTTGAGAGCATCTCCCTGTGCAGTCCAGGCTGGCCTTTGATCTGAGGACCTTCTGTCTCTGTTTCCCAATTCCTGGGATTCTGGGGGGATGCCACCACACCCAGACTTAGCCATATATTATTAGTCAGCTGGTAAAGTTATTGTTTTTCAAAACTAGGAACATGAACATTTGAGAATAAAATACAATGTGTTTCTTTCTCTTTTTTCTTCATTTTCTCGACGCTGGGGATTGAAGCTAGGGCTTCATACATACTAGGTAGGTACTCACTGAGCTACATCCAAGCAGTATCTGAACCACTTCTATTGAAAGCGCAAATTCTCTTTACTTTTCCCTTTAAAACTATAGTTTTGAGAGTCTGGGAAAATAAGTATCTTAAGCAAGTAATTGTATACCTGGGTTTGAAATTATTTGTGTGGGTGTGCGTGTGCGCGTACATGGTTGGATTATGGAACAACTTGTAGGAATCAGTTTTCATCTTCCACAATCCTGGGTCCCCAGGATTGAACCCAGGTCATCAGGCGTGGCAGCAAGTGCTTTTATCTACTGAGCATCTCACCAGGTCTTCATTTGCAGATGCGGTGGCTTATCATGTCACGAATGGTTAATGATCCCCAACAGAAAAAATAAAGAATTGCTAATGACAGAATATATCAAGCCAATGGTCTATTAAGATGTTACAGTTCATATGGATTAATACTTCAGTAAACCTTCAAATAATTTTTATTGTTCTTTTCTGTGTGGCCATGTGTATTTTCCAGTGATCTTGACATTAGTTCTTGAGAAGTCAACTCAACATAGAATGAGAATTCTAAAAAGTCCTCATTATCCAGTTTAGTCTAAAAGAGATCAGCAATTTAGGCTGATCTATTTATATTAACTGACTGGTACTTCCATGCTAATCCTGTAATTAAGATTCATTTCTCAAAGATGTTACTATAATCTTAGAAATATTAAAGATTTAAACCCTAAAGATTGGTATGGAAATGATTAAATTTTCTCTATTATTTCTTCCCTCTCTCCCAGAGTGATTAATTTCACTTTCAGTGCCTTCCTTCCCGAGCTGGAGTGCTTCTGTAGAGACTCCTAATTCGGTGAAACCTGTTTAGGGGATCATCCCTGCTAGACAGACAGCTGCGAGAGGGCATTCGCTTCCCAGCATGGATTTCAGATTATGGCCAATCAAGAGCCGGAGCTAAGGAACACCTGTCAACGGCGCTTGCTACAAGGAGACCAGCTCTTTAATCGAATTTCATTGTACTTCAGAAAAAGGTTTATTTTAAATGTGGCGTCTGCTTTTATGATTCATCCTTCTCAGCTGAGACATCAATTTGGGGCTTATTTATGATGTTGTTCTAGGGTGAAACAAGACACTGCAAGAAAGTATTTCAAAAAGGCAGCCTTTCCCAGACATGCAGTTTGCAGCTTTCCTCGTGTGGAAAATAAAAAAGAAATTTAAAACGTTAGTTTTGAGCTTTTGTGTGTGAATGTAATTAGCGATAGGGATTCTTTTGAGCACACTTTCAGAATATTGAAGCCGGATGGTAAATGCTCCTGGTGACGTCTGGGGAACTTTCCCTGTGGAAATCTGTTCCGCTGATCTGTGAGCAGGGCAAACCATCATTGATACTGACAGGTTCCGAAAGGCCGTGCTAGGCTTTCAGCTTGGCCCTAATTGGAGGCCCCGCTAAGCCCATAATACCAGGTACTTTCTCACAGCTGCAGACCGTGAGTGTAACTATCAGAAGACAAACTTCACTGCGCAAACTGTAATTTAATGGTATAACTGTGTACAGCCCAGACTATCAGTTAATTTTCAAAACATTTTATTCTACAGCAATTAGCTCAGGTCCTGGAGGGCAAAATGACAAGAGGTTACTCGTTCACTATGTATTTAATTAATTGAAAAATGCTCCAATTGCCTTTACAGTTGTTATTAGAGAGTGGAATCAGTGTTGCCAGCGCTCAACCATAATTGGAACCCCAGGGAATTAAATATTTAGCATTAGTAATGTAACAGCACTTAGGACACAAATTTCTATTTTCGTAATGAAAGCTATACACTGTGAGTGCACGCGGCTGAAAGGACAGCTGTGACAAGCGAAGCGGCCTGGGACATTTCAATAAGACACCTCATTGGACAGCAAGTCTCACCACATTACATGTTCGTAAGAGACCTGCAAGTTTAATTCCCACGAGGAACTCAGAGCCCAAGTCTTTAGCGTCCTAATTGCATGCAGGATGAACGGTTGGGCAAATGTCTTGCTGTAAGTGGCTGAAATTCATCCTGCTTTCTAAATAATCGCATATAAGTTCGTGCCTTTGTCAATTTAAAAATACTGGGACTGTCAGGGAATAAGGATCTTGTTTGTTTTCCATTTAATTATATTTTAAGCACACATGCTTTCTGTGCTACAATGAGAAAAGTTGGATATTGGGCTCTAATGAGCTGCAGTGCTAGACGCTGGAGACCCTGAGGGATTCACTCCGTAAATTAGCTGGATAAAAAGTACTTGGTTAGGATATAGTTGATGGCTGAGCTGTTCGTAGAACCAGTTACAGCACTGTCTCTCACTCCTGTTTCATTCTAAACAGGCCCTGTAGAGACTTTAACAGCTGCCTGTTAAAGCTGCTCAACTTGTCAAAATGTATTATATTACTCCACTAATAAATAGTATTAAAGGGTATTTGACTTCACCTCTCCTTTTCCGAGGGGATCAGGTTGATAAACACAACTGGCTTAGGCTGGCCTTATTTTAATTTGTTTATGTCAGCTAAGTAATATTGAAGGGCCATGTTTTAAATTTGCAAAAATTACCTTCCTGGGAAGGCAGGCCTTCCAAAATATGATATACAGTGGGAACAAGGAATTGAGACACTTATTGTAGAATATTTGTCAGACATAGAAAGAGGTCTGACTTTGACTTTCACGTTCGAAGAACTTGAGAGCCTGTGGGTGAACTGACATTCTCGGAAGGGTTGGTTCCTTTGCATTTATCATGTCCAGAAAAATAAAAATTAAATAAATAATGTCACAACTTCCTTTTGATTTTCTACCCTACTTGTGTCTGTTTTGGGTTATTCTAAGTGATTGTGATTTCATATCAATTCTTAAGCATTTTTCAAAACAATATATGTTGACTTTTAAAAGAAAAGAATAATTTATTTGAGAAAGTCTTTCCTAGACCCTCTCCTGTTTCCCTGCTGCTCTTCTCCTTTGAGAACATTTTTGTTTTCATTTGTTTTTGGTTTTTTTCGTTTGTTTTTTTTTCATTTGTATGTATTTTTGTTTTCCATTTCTGTGTGTGTGTGTGCGTGCTGTGTGCATGTGGGATTCATGCATGTGTATATATATGAATGTGAAGGTCAGAGGTTGACAGTTGACATCAAATGTCTTCTTTCATCACTTTCCACCATATTTATTGAGGCAGGACTCTCAGTTGAACCTGAACCTGGGTGACCAACTAGTCTTGTCCAGCCAGCTTGCTCTGTGCACATTTATAGATCACACTGTAGAGAGCATTTAAGGAGGATAATGTCATGGTTTTTCTCCTGCATTGGTGCCCTAGATTACACACATTAAAAAAAAAAGTTACATTTATTTATGGGGTATCATGTGCCAAAGTGTATATGAGTGTGTGTGTGTGTGTGTGTGTGTGTGTGTGTGTGTTGCACACGTGTGTACACACACACAACACACACACACACACACACACACACACACACATGCTGATGAAAGGACAACTTGTTAGTTCTTTTTCTGCTGTGGAGACCCCAGAGATCAAAGCCAGGTGGTCGGGCTTGACCACAAGCCTCTTTACCTCGTAAGCCATCTCACTGACCTTTTCATTAGAACTTTTTTTAAACAGTCTGTATTGCACAGGTACAAAATGTATTTATCTGTTGGCTGTCAATGTCATTCAAAGTAATTCAGTTTTGCCATAGCAAATGATGCTGAATATCTTTCTAAGCATGTGAATAAGCATGGATGGGCACAGAGCTCTCTAGATGTATCACTGAAAAGTGAACCATCATGGATTGTGTCATTATCCTGCCAGGTGCCATTCAAAATGCCTTTAGTAACTCATTTCATCTTTACATTAATTATTAAGAATTAAGTGTGGCCAGGCGCAGTGGCGCACACTTGTAATCCCAGCACTCAGGTAGGGAAAGGCAGGCAAATCTCTGTGAGTTCCAAGGCCAGCCTGGTCTATGGAGTGGGTTCCAGGATAACCAAGGCTACACAGAGAAACCCTGTCTGAAAAAGAGAGTGTGTGTGTGTGTGTGTTAAGGTACATATTAGTCCTATTTTATGTAGGGAAACTGAGGCACAAAGGGGTAAAACTTCTCAGAGTGTGCTGTTAGCCAGTCTCTTGTGCCTCCACAGACAGACCCCTTCCCCTAGTTCCCTCCTTGCACATAGGTTGGGTTGTGGTTTCCCATGCTTGTTGCCATCAGTTTCTTCTGAGAACTAAGCTGTCCACTGTCCATGTCACTTCTCTTGTGATTGTAGTGTCATGCATGGCCCCATCAGTCTACAGGGATAGCTTGACTGATTATGGCTGGCTCTTGTCTTTGAGAGCTGGGGGCTGCCCAGGCTAGGCAAGCGCTCTGCCACTGAGCTACAACCCCAGCACTTTTCTTTTGAGATGGAATCTCACACAATCTCTCAGACTTGAACTCACTCAGCAGCCCAGGAAGGCCTTGAACTGGAGCTGCTCCTGTCAGCCTCCCAGTAGCTGGGATTACTGGCCTGTGGCCTGGCTGTGTCTGATACAAATAATCTCTCCTTCCCACAGTCTCTTGTCTATGTTTTCATTTTATGTTAGTATTACTAAGGTTTGCTTTATGGACTAGTATATACGGAAGCCTTTTACCACCCCAGGGAAGCAAATACGTTTTTCTATATGTACAGTTTTCCACACTATTAAGTTTTTCAGGTTTTTATCTTAGACCCATATGCCGTATGTGATACATGTGGAGTGGATAAAAAGTGAGTGTTTGATCTGAACTTCTTCAGCTTCCTCTTGTGAGCTGTCTTTTCTCTTCCCTCCACAACTTCAATGTTCCCTCTTTATCTAATGCCATAAGCCCACTTGCACTCATCTCTTGATAGCCACTTCCTGGGTATTTTGTCTGTAGACTGCCTGGTCTTGTAACAGTTTTTTGTTTTGTTACAGGAGTAAGATAAGTCTCTTAATTAAAATGATGTCTGTTGCCTACATCTAATTTTATAAAAGCAGGGCATACTTTTTCAGGCATGGTCAATGAATTCCAAGCTGGGACAGGAGGATGGTGAGTTCCAGGTTAGCCTGAGCTACATACCAAAACACCCTGTGAGCATGGCAGCAATGGATGGCAAGGGGAGCTAAGGTTACAGACATAGTAACCTCAGCTCAGGCTTGTCTAACCCAGGGTGATTACTCTGGATTACCCAGGTGATCCTAGAGGAATCATAAGGACTGCTGATGGTGGAAAGGGGAGGTGGGGACAAACTGGGCAGAGCCCTCTGGCTTTGCACCTGAAAGACTAGGGCCCCAAGCCAAGGACTGCCGCTGAAGAAGACAGGCTTGTAGGCTCTGTGCTCTCCTGAAGAAAGCAAAACTTGGCCTGTGCCCTCCATTCTCTCTCATCTGTAGGAAAGGAGTCTGTCAGGCTGTGGTGATTTGTTACCACAGCAATAGAAAACTAATACAGGCTAGGCAGGTGGTACACAGCTGAGGCAGGAGGATTACCTAAGTGAGAGCTGTCTCAAACAACCAAAACTTAAAAATACACCTCAAAAATCCAAGACTTAAAAGATGGCTATGAAGGTAAAGGCAGGGCTCTTTGTTCTTAACTGCCCTGCCTCTGGCTGCTTCAGGCCAGCTCCCATGAGGACGGCTGAGCACGAGGGGTTTCTGGCTCCACACGTGCTCAAGGGCTTGGCTGGTTACTCAGGCAACCCCCCTTCCTATTCCAAGAAATTTTAATTTCTAATGTTTACTTTTCCAGGTGAGCCTTAGAGCCAGTTTGCAAACAATGTTTTAAAGTTGGTTGAAGGTTCAGTTTAGTTGGGGTATGTAGTCAGGGTATAAATAGATTTCTGTGGGAGAGCAGATAATTGCATCCTAATCCTGACTTTTTACGCTATCTTCGGGAATGCATAATCTGTGAATGCATGAAGGAATGAATGAAAGAATGAATATGAATTTTATTTTTGGAGCATTGAAAGAGAAAAATACTTGGTTATTTTGTAAATATTTTAATTCACTTAAAAATTTAATCCACTTAAAATTTTTCTTTGTAAAACTCTACATAGAACTTTGACTGTCTCTGATACCTGTGCTTGTGACTACTTTATTTAATGTGTATGAGTGTTTTTCCTATATACATGTCTGTGTACCATGTGTGTGCAGTACACCTGGAGACCAGAAGAGGGTGCTAGAGCCTCTGGAACTGGAGTCATAGACAGTTGTGAGCCACCTTGTGAGTGCTAGAAATAGAACCAGGTCTTCAAAATGAGACGGACATTGGATGTAGGAGAAAACAAGTAACAGGACAGGAGCCTACCACAGAGGGCCTCTGAAAGACTCTACCTAGAAGTGTATCAAAGCAGATACTAAGACTCATAACCAAACCATCGGCAGAGTGCAGGGAATCATATGAAAGAAGGAGGTGTTAGTAAGACCTGGGGAGGACAGGAGCTCCACAAGGAGCAAATATACCAGGGCACAGGGGTCTTTCATGAGACTGTTTCTCCAACCAAGGACCATGTATGGATATAACCAAGAACCCCTGCTCAGATATAGCCCATGGTAGCTCAGTGTCCAAATGGGTTCTCTAATAAGGGGAACAGGGACTATTTCTGACATGAACTCAATGGCGAGCGAGCTTTTCCACCACCCTCCTCATGAGGGAGGAACAGCCTTGCTAGGCCACAGAAGAGGACATTGCAGCTAGTCCTGAGGAGACTTGATAAGCTAGGGTCAGATAGAGGGGGAGGAGGTCCTCCCCTGTTAGTGGACTTGGAAAGGGGCAGGGAGAAGATGAGGGAGGGAGGGTGGGATTAGGAGGGAATGAGGGAGGGGGCTACGGCTGGGATACAAAGTAAATAACCTGTGATTAATATAAAAAATAAAAAAGTAACAAAAAAAAAAAAGAACCAGGTCTTCAGAAGAGCAGCCACTGAACCATCTCTCCAGCCTCGTGTCCACCTTCTTAATCCAAATGCGGTTTAGTTTAGTTTCTACGTTTCTTTTTTTCTGTCACACTTACCAGAGTTTTATTGGCTTTTTAGCTTACTTTTAGTTTAAAAAATATTTTCGGGGCTATAGTGATGGCTCAGTGGTTAAGAATACTGTGGCTCTTGCAGAGGACCCACAGGTTTGGTTCCTAGCAAATATATGGCTGCGTACAACCATCCATAACTTCTTCAGCTCCAGGGGATTCAATTCCCTTTTCTGACTTCCCCAAGCACCAGTCATGAATGTGGTGTACAGAACATGCAGCCCAAACACTCCTATACATAAAATAAACCTACTGTAGACGTATTTTAGTTTCCTTGGTAGCTTCCTTTCTCAGTAGTCTTCGCTTCTCTCCATTTTACCTTTTGCTCTGCTTCCATTTGTATGGTTAACCTTTCCTGGGTCCATTGGCTGAACACCTAGTTTTATTTTTTCATCTCTCTTGATGTTTGGTAACTAGTTCAGGCTGTAAACTGTCCTCTAAGCTCAGTTTTGCTTTCACAGACCGGCCTTTGTGCCACAGCCTCTGTGTGCAGCACTCGAGGCATCATTACTGCTGCCTGCTGGCCACAGAGCTCATGGTCTGCCACCTACCTGCTGCTCGCCACTTTACCCTTTTGCTTGCTATCTTTTTAATAAACTTGCTCATTCGGAACCAAAAGTATGCCTAGCATGCATCATTCTCCGCACAGAAGACACGCATGTTCAGAAGGAACCTGTGATGGGGTCTGTGGATGGAAGTCCTTCCTAAGTGAAGCCAACAATCGGAGTTGGACCGCCAGAACCCTTGGTGAAAGGAGCAAACCTTTGGGGCCCATGAAGT